GCCCGAGGAGCCAACTCCGGCTCCGCCCCCGCTCTGCCTCTGCTCTGCCCCCCTCTGTCTCCGGCTCTGCCCCCGCTCTGCCCCTGCTCTGTCCCCACTCTGCCCCCCTCTGTCTCTGGCTCTGCCCCCCGCTCTGCCCCCCTCTGTCTCCGGCTCTGCCCCTGCTCTGCCCCCAGCTTTGCCTCTGCTCTGCCTCTGCTGCTGCTGGTGGCCTTTCTGGAAGCCTCTCTGCAAACTTCCCAAGCACAGAGGTCAGAGGTGATGGGCTGCTGGGAAGAGGGGTTGCTGAAGGTCATGGGTGATGGGGATGACGGGCAGGGAAAGGTGGGTGCACGTTAAGCCTCTGCATGCAGTTGGGGGTCCACAGTATCAGGGGCTTTCCTGAGCAGGACGGAGATGGGGACCCACCACATTGCATGGCCTCAGCCCAGAGTCAGTCCCGAGCTGGGGAAGGAGTGGACGGGCTGAGCGAGGGGCGCAGGTAGGACGCAGGGATCTGTCCGGGCCGCTGCACTTGGTGAGGCCCTGCCCTGATCACAGGACGAAGAGCCGAAGGGTCCCTGGGGACACCCCCAGAGGAAACAGGCCGGTGGGGACATGTCTGGCCCTGGAGTTGATGGACTGAGAGCCCACCAGAGGCCAACGGTGCCACCTTCTGCTTTGCTGGAGGCGTCTCTGTTTATCCCCAGCTTGGCCCAGCCCCTGGCCACACAGCACGGGCAGGCTGGCCTTGTGCTCTGTGCTGGGCTGCGGGCGGGGCTGATTCAGTGCCGCAGGCCCTGGCGCACAGATCCCACCAACCTGGGTCCCACGAGGGTTTGCCTGGGAAGAAAGCTCAGTCCCAGAGCCCAGGAGGGCCGGGCGGGGGGAGCTGGGCGGGAGGCTGGGAGGGGACCTGGCAGGGTCAGGATGCCTGGAAACACCTGCCGGCTGCCGGCCGGTCAGAGGGTCACCTGGCCTGCTTGGTTGGTTACTGGTGGCGGCAGGACATTCATCCAAGACCCAGATGTGGAGGCGGAACAGTAGCCACGGCAGCGGGGCCGGCTGCACAGTGTGCAGGGTCTCCCATCAATGCTATCGCAGTCCAGCCTCAGGACAGCCCCGAGGGATGAGCTCAGATTCCCGGAGAGGACACCACGGCTCCTGCCGATGAGGGGGCTGCTGTGGCCTCCGCGCGAGGAGGGATGGGTCCAGCCCCTGGGCCGGGCTCTCGGACCCGTGGGCTGCTGTCTGCATCTCCCCACCCTTTCAGGACCCTGCGTGGGTGTCACTGGCTGGTGCTGGGCCTTTAGCTTCCTTACTGCCCCGCGGTGCAGCCTGGTTGCATGCAGTTAGCGTGCCACCAACACGCGGAGATTCCACCGGCTTCTCCAGCCCTTCCTCAGCTGAGGGCGCCCCCACTCTGCTGGGTTCTGGCTCTGGGGCGTCATCCTTGAACAGGGGCGAGAGGCCTGCCCTCTCCTGGCGCCTGGGAAAGCGCCTACTGAGTGCGTGGCGCCAAGCAGGGTCTTCACTGAGACTGGCCCGTCTCTCCTCTCTTTGGTGGACGTGCACCTTGCTCCCCACTTCTCTTACCATTACCCTCGGCCTCCGGGGTGTCAGGTCCCAGAGGAACTCTGCTGTCTCACCTTCCAGCTCAGAGATGCTGGATCCAGACACGCGGGCTGGGCGGGGCTGGGGGTGGGGGAGTTACTTTAAAAGCGGGGTGAGGATTACGTGTCTGCAGAGGAGCCACGAAGACCCAGCCTGGGCAGTGTGCTTTTTTTTTTTTTTATCTTGCTTTGTCTTCTGACCTGCTGGGCGGCCTGGGCACAGCCCTCAACCTCTCTAACCTCAAGGTCCCGCAGAATCAGCGTCGGTGGGAACTCTCTCTCAGATAAAAGAGTTCAGAACCCACAGTGGAGGGGTGTCCTCCACTAGGGGAACGATGGCACCATGACACGCGAGGAGAGAAGAAGAGGCTCGCAGAGGCCACAGGAGCCGAGAGCCAGCTCTGCTGCCTGCTGTTCTGGCCAAGCAGCCTGCCCGGCTGTGTTCCCTCCCACACGCTGTAGTGCCGCTCTGCGTTCGTTTTCTGGATGGAGTTGGCAGGGGCAGAGAGAGGATGGTCGGGGTGTAGGAGAAGGCAGAGCACAGGGGCACCTAGAAGGGCTTCTGGCCCTGGTTCTGGGGTAAAGTCAGGCTCCCCTGGGGGCGAGTGCCTTGCTCCCCACATCTCCCAGGGAGAACCCAGGACCAGGATGCTGCGTTGCTAGGTGATGGAATAAACAGGTCCTCTGGGCCCTGCAGGCGGCAGTGAGGTTGCTGAGGCAGGGACACAGTAGAGGGACCCAGGGGAGGGGGAGTAGGGGAAGTTCTGGGAGAGCAGAGGCTGCTCACAGGCAGCTCAGAGCAGAGCCTGGCCACTGGCCGCCTCGGGTTCAGGTGTTTGGGGGCTGTCCTGAGGGCCTCACACTGCAGTCTGACCCCTGAACCTGCATCCTACCCTAGCCCCACGGCCAGAGGCCCTGTCCTCGCCCCCTGCCTCTTGGGTAAAGCAATTGGATCCCTTTGCCAGGCAGTAGCAAAACCCTCTCTCCTGGGTGCCTCAAGCAATGACAGGTAAGGTGAGGGGGGCACAGGAGGGCGGGCAGGGTTTCCGGAGGTGAGCCAGGCTGAGATGCCCAGCAGTGTTCGATCGCCTGCTTCCCATCTCAGACAGGGTCCGGTACCCGCTATGACCCCACTGCCAGCTGCCCTCGGCTCAGACTCAGCCTCTGTGTGCCAGCCTTGCTCTTACCTCCGGGGAAGGCCAGGGGAGAGGCGGAAGGTGTAACTGCCCCTCTGTCACCAATGGAGGAACTGAGGCACGGAGCCACTGTGCGCTCTGTCACCAAGTTGCATGTCAAGGCAGCGGAGGGGCAGGAGCGAGGTCAGTACCTGTCGCCCAGGGGACCGACCGGAGGAAGGCCCTTGGCTCTGACGATGCTGTCACTGCCTTCCAGGCC